ACAGGAGTTAGCAAAGTATACCGGTCCAGCATAATATGCTGGAGTTCGTACACAAATGCACCAGAACTCCCGTATATTATACTGGCCCGGTCCCTGTTGCAGCAAAATAGTGGCTATTTTTCATTGACTTGGTAAACGCTGGCTATTTTTCATTGACCTGTTTAAAAACTGGCTATACCATGATATTTTAACGCGGAAAAGTCTTGATTGTGCTCAGCCAGTATATAATACTGGAGATTATGCTTTACCGGATTATATAAGAACTCCAATTCTATAAACTTTACCGGATGATATGCTTTCACATATTAGATTCTGCAACATAATATACACGAAGCAAAACATTTTAAAATTCAAACTACAAAATCTGCTTATATATCAACAAAGTATTAATATTTAACATATAATTCAAAAACTATGTTTATCAGGGTATTTACAATTCAAAGCTGCCATAATTTAAAGAATATTTACAAAAGTTATTCCCTTCATTTCCATAATCATCACCAACCATCTCTGGAGGACTTTCATACCCTGATTTGTGTTTCCATTCTGCCTGTGCCCACAGACTAAAACCAAGATACTGACGATAATATTTGATTGTATTGGGCACAATTGACATAACATCTTTACCCTGCATCAACATATCAACAAATCTTATAACAAATGCACCACAACTTGTGTTCCCTATCTGTTTTGGTGATTCTTTCCAGTGAAGAACAAATGGTTTATACTCATGCCCAAATGTAGGATGCAAGTCACCAAATTTACAATACTCCAAAATCATAGGAATAAATTCCTGATATTGAAGAATCTGCTCCTTTATAACTTGATAATCATATCCCTGGTACACAGAATCATATACATCTATAGTCTTCTCATTCAAGTCTAACACTGCCAGGTAATAATGAGTGCAACAATCTAAGGCAACTTCACCATCTACAATATGTGCAGGAACTCGAATCGGACAGAAAACTTTATCAACAGATGACCATGGAATCCCACATCTACGATTCTCACCCAATACATACTGAATAAGACCAAATCCCAATGCTTCATTCCAAAATTGAAATTCAGTAAATTTTTTTGGACGTTTATGCCAGTCATTATATGCAAATTCCAAAGTGTCATTAAAGTCCAGATCTGTTGTTGTTGAAGCAAATGGATACTCATTGAAGTGATATATATGCTTCTTCCTCAAAAAATACATTACAACATCTATGTGCTGAATATAAAACAAAAAAAAATATGTCAAGTATAATATGAAAGAAAATCAAAAGTTCACAACGTAAAAAATATATACATACCGCATCAGTTAATGTATACTTATCATCTACCATCTCTTTAAAGAACATTCTTGATTTGACTTTCTCATTGTAAAGTTCATATGGCTTTCCTTGCAGTACAAGATCTTTTTTGTAAATATCAGTTACATCCCTAAAAAAACAAGGACAAAACAAATATGAAAAACAAAAAAAAAAGTGAAATTTTAATAACATATATATCAAATAAAAATACAATAAACTAAATATCAAAACTCACTTTGGTAGACGACCTCTTCTCTTGTTCTCCTTTAAATATGCTTCAAAATTATCCTCAGCACGTTTGATTGTTTTACGATAATGCCAGCAACATCTTCGAACATATTTTGGATTCCAATTCAGACCTTTACATGTTCCCTTATATGGAGATTTTAAATGCCAACTGGCATTACGATTTCTTTTTCCTCTACCAAGCAATTCTTCTTCTACATTCGCACTTTGTGCAATCTGCGGTACTTGTGCTCCTGCCACTTCTTTTCCTTTACAGGAAGCAAAATTTTCTTTTTCATTTTCACCTTGTACCTTCTTATCATCTAGTTGAGAAACAAACTTAGCAACTTTAAGAGGAGAAACATAAATTCCCTCATCCACACTTGAATATAAAATAATATTTTTATCAGAATCATTTTTTTGTATATCAGCAGAAACAGATTGTTCAGCAGGGGTGCGATCAACAGTAGGTTCAGGATAATTTGAAATACTTGACTGAGACAAAATATTAAAATTAGGGCATGAATCCACAGAATTCCTCTTTCGTTTCCTGGTATACAATTTTCCCTGCTTCAAAAAAAGCAAAAAAGAAATGGAGAGATTATTAGAACTGAAAAACATAATGAAATGAAATAAATTATACATATCCAGTATAATTTACTAGATAAAACAGTCTACAGATGCTAGTTTTCCAGTATAATATACTGGACAACAAGCTTAAACACGTTAGAATTCCTGTAAAATATACAGGAATCAAACAAAACTCAACCATAATATAATAATCATCCAGTATAACATATTGGAAAGCAAAGATTCACAGGACAATAAAAAAAAGTACTATTAATCAATCAAAAAATAAATAACAACTAAAAAAATTTTAGTCTAAAGAGAACTCATCCAGTATAATATACTGGACAACAAGCTTACACAGCGTAGATATACTGTAAAATATACAGGAATCAAACAAAACTGAACTATAATATAATAATCATCCAGTATAACATACTGGAAAGCAAACAAACTCAAATATTTTTTTCAAAAGCCTAATAAAAAAACAGATAAATTATAACTCAAAAAAGGAATTGACAGATAAAATAAAATTCTAGTCTAAAAAGAACTAATCCAGTATAACATACTAGAGAAAAAACTTAGGCACAGTAAACAACAAAACCGTACACACTAACCTGCTGAATCTTTTCAATAATTTCATGAACAGCAAGAGGTGCTTTTTCTTTCAACATTATCTTTACTTTGTTGGATGCATATTTCAGAAAGACTTGCCAGACCAGTCTCAGGTTCTCTTTCCTTTGCTCCAGATGCTGCATTCACATTTACTATAAGAATAACTTGTTCTACTTCAGGTGAATCCAAAATTATATTTCCTTTTTCAATATCGCGAAAAATGGCTTCAACATCTGTACCTCCTGTTGCAGCATCTGTTTCACTTCCCTGAGAAAATAGATTTCTCTTATAATATAAACATTCAACACATATTGGACAATCAAGCTTAAATACAACACACTTCCATTAAAAGATACTGAAATCAAACAAAACTCAAGTATTTTTTTGAAGAGCATAATTAAAAAAAAAACAGACAAATTACAACTCAAAAAGGAATTGGCAAATGAAACAAAATTCTAGTCTAAACAGAACTAATACAATATAACATACGATTTCTTTTTCCTCTACCAAGCAATTCTTCTTCTAAATTCGCACTTTGTGCAATCTGCGGTACTTGTGCTCCTGCCACTTCTTTTCCTTTACAGGAAGCAAAATTTTCTTTTTCATTTTCACCTTGTACCTTCTTATCATCTAGTTGAGAAACAGACTTAGCAACTTTAAGAGGAGAAACATAAATTCCCTCATCCACACTTGAATATAAAACAATATTTTTATCTGAATCATTTTTTTGTATATCAGCCCTCATCCACACTTGAATATAAAATAATATTTTTATCAGAATTTTTTTTTTGTATATCAGCAGAAACAGATTGTTCAGCAGGGGTGTGATCAACAGTAGGTTCAGGATAATTTGATATACTTGACTGAGACAAAATATTAAAACTAGGAAACGAATCCACAGAATTCCTCTTTCGTTTACTAGTATATAATTTTCCCTGCTTCAAAAAAAGCAAAAAAGAAATGGAGAGATTATTACAACTAAAAAACATAATGAAATGAAGTAAATTATACATATCCAGTATAATTTACTAGACAAAACAGTATACAAATGCTAGTTTTCCAGTATAATATACTGGACAACAAGCTTAAACACGTTAGAATTCCTGTAAAATATACAGGAATCAAACAAAACTCAACCATAATATAATAATCATCCAGTATAAAATATTGGAAAGCAAAGATTCACAGGACAATAAAAAAAAGTACTATTAATCATTCAAAAAATAAATAACAACTAAAAAATTTTTAGTCTAAACAGAATTCATCCAGTATAATATACTGGACAACAAGCTTACACAGCGTAGATATCCTGTAAAATATACAGGAATCAAACAAAACTGAACTATAATATGATAATCATCCAGTATAACATACTGGAAACCAAACAAACTCAAATATTTTTTTCAAGAGCCTAATAAAAAAACAGACAAATTATAACTCAAAAAAGGAATTGACAAATAAAACAAAATTCTAGTCTAAAAAGAACTAATCTAGTATAACATACTAGAGAAAAAACTTAGACACAGGAAATAACAAAACTGTGCACACTAACCTGCTGAATCTT